TTCATCAAATTGCAGAAGCAAGGTCTTAACTCACAAAAGGATACCGAATATTTGGGCACCAGCTACTGCGGCTTGTTATGAAAATAAACTTTGTTTTAGTTTCTTTCTCTTCTACAAGTCGTTTCCGCAATATTAATGCTAGGCATATAAATCTGTAATTATTTGTATTTTGAAGACGTGGCGATGTTATCGTTGACAGGATCGGTTTACTTTCAGCTGAATTCAACAAAGGTATTTTATATTGTCAGTTTTAATTATTTATTATATTTCAATTTTACTTATTTTTATTTTATTTTATATGTTTTTTATAGTTATGACGGCTACTTCTCAATATTAATTTATTACTTAATATTATTTCGGTAACGGTCTTGTCGGCTTTAATATTGCGACTAACATTCATGTCAATTTGCGCAGGTCTTTTACTAATTGTAATGCGTTCGTGTCGTAAACCTTGAGTTTTATTATCACTGAAGAGGTTTCATGTTTGAGCCAAAACGTATGATTGTTTTAGATTGATTATTCATGTTCAATAAATATTACACGACTTCCTAACACAAGGAAGGTTTTTTACCCATATGGTATATAGCACTATTAGTCCTGTGCTTGAACTCGAATTGCCCTTTTTCCTATTTTTTGATTCATATATAATCATATATAATTATATATATTTATATATATTTATATATAATTATATATAATCTTTTTTTCCCGGGTTTCTGTAAGATGTTTTACAATTTTATCATTTTTACATGTTTATAACCAACCCAGTAAACAAGGAACATTAAATTAACGTTTAGAAACGTTGACTTCATGTGCATTGTTTGGACATTTTTTAATAATATTGCATTTATATTTTTCACATGTTATTTTGTGATATGATTTTTTCTGAATGTTGCTTAAACGTTTTAAAAACATTACAAAAAATATATTTTTCAAATGTTACTTTAACATTTATTTGAGGTTAATGCAACATCTTAAAAATATTTCTGCCGATTAAAGCAGTCCTTATATAGCAACCCTATTTCAACATTATTGAAACTTCCAAATCGCAGTCAAAGTATGTTCATAATGATGTTTGATACAATATTAAACATTATATATTTGACAATATTACAGGTTCTTCAATATCATTGTAACAACGTTGTATTAATGATTTCTTGTTTACTGGGAGATGACTTCATTTGCATTTAATATTACTTATAATAATACGAGGGAGCAAACACACACCTCTCATATGTAATGTAAATAACTACTAAATGTTGAATGTGAGAAAAATATTGTATACGATAGCTGCGTTCCGAAATGTACTGCCAGTACTGAAAATGTATAGTTCATGTCACGTATACTATAGAATTTCAGCACTGGAAGTGAATTTCGGAACGCAGCCAAGTATTTCTCATGTTTTTGTCTCTCTGTATTACCAAATGAGTAAAGCAGATGATACAGCTGAGTACCGGTAGGTAGCACCACTAAAGGCTCGTATAAACGACCAATTGCTTCCCCACTATTACTTCAACCACTCATTGTGAGTTCCACTTGGCGATTGGTCGTCGCAAATGTCATTCTATCCTTGTCTCTTATTTGACGTTAAACAAGGATGGAATGACGTTCGCACCGACACGATCACCAAGTGGAATTCACCTTCGAACTGTGCTGCTCAATCCTTCGTGTTCGTGAGTGTCTCGTGTGTAAATCAAAATGGCATCCGCGGAACAAGTCGGCCTCAACAAAACATGGGAATTATCGCTGTACGAGTTACACCGCACTCCACAGGATGTGATTACCGACAACACGGAGATCGCGGTCAGTCCACGGAGTCTGCACAGCGAGCTCATGTGCCCCATTTGTCTGGACATGTTGAAAAAAACAATGACCACGAAGGAGTGTCTGCATCGTTTCTGTTCGGATTGCATCATTACAGCGTTAAGAAGCGGTAACAAAGTATGTGTTCAATGTGACTCGCTTTTGCATGTCGGGAAAGTCTTAACGTCATGCACGGCACAAAGATACAATTTCGTCTCTGTGACATAGTCTATATCATACGTAAACCTCGTGATGTATACAACGCGATCTATCGTTTATTTTTCTGGAAATGTCTTGTTATACACTTCTCTTTTAATTGTATTATGTTATTTTTATATGGTTAGGTTGTATAATAAGTAATTTCGGACTCTTCAAGTAGAATGTAACAATTATATTGCTATTGTATGATGTGTCATCATCATTTCATGAAATAATGTATGCAAAGGATGACAGATTATAGGTCAGAACACAGTGTATATACATTATTTCATAAAATTATAACGACATCAAACTACAACAGTTTTACTTTATTTGAAGAACCCTAAATTATTTATTAGACAATCCAGTATAACTTGATATGTAAGGCTTTTGTAGTATGAAATAATATTTATCTTTGATTCCAAATTAAAGTCATCAGTTTCTTGTCGATATGTTTCCAATGTTTCATGAACATTCCAATCCATTTTGTCAAAAAGTGAGAATACCATACTGATAATATGACTATAGTATGACTGATAGTAGTAGATAAATATAAATATAAATTTGGTAAAAACTTTACATCGATTTGTCAAGATTGTGTTTCTTGGTTTGTATGGCATCCATATTTATCACATAGAATGACTAAATAGAAATATGAAAAAAATAATCAAAATTTACTCAAAGCAACATATCATGTAAGATATAATATATAAATCTAAATATAACTTTTAATATATTTGTAGCTGACTTAATTTAATAAGAGATGAGTTTATTTAATGAGTTATAAGAACTGAGTTAATTAATAAGAGATTACATTATTATTGTATGATATAAATGTAATCATTAATTCAGTACATTATATTTGCTTCAAATTGAAGTTGAAAATTGGAAATGTAATTTAGAAAATTGTCAAATTTCCATCATTGATTGATTATCCATGATCAATTGACATCGTAATAATCATGAAAGTCTACTGGGAGGTTGCTTTTCTACCTGATAAAGCAAACTGAAATGTTCATAAAACATTGAAAACATTTCTACAAGAAACATAACTTTGACCTGAAAGCTAATACAAACATTGATAAAATTGTTACGATATTATTTACAGGAATGTCCCACGTGCAGAAAAAAATTGGTTTCAAAACGCTCCCTCAGGCCAGATCCAAACTTCGACTTACTGATTTCAAAGATCTATCCAAGTCGAGATGAATACGAAGCGCATCAGGAGCGAGTTCTGGCAAAATTGAACAAATCGCATTCACAAGCTGCGCTCGTTAACTCCATCACAGAGGGTATCAAGCTGCAGAGTCAAAATCGTCCACAACGTTCTAGAAAGAACGCGAACGAGTCGGAAAACGCGAGTAACGCTACGTCTTACAACAACACGTCGAACACCAGCGGCCCCACAACACCAAATGCATCCGCGAACGCGGCGAATCAGAGTGATTCCTCACAGAGCACTGGACCATTGAACAGCGGAGGTATATCTAGCAGTTCTCAGAATGCCAACAGTATTTCCCAACCTGCGAGCAGCCCAGCTGTCTCCGGTGAGATTACAATTATCTGCTTGAAATCCGCGATAAATAATATCTCTCTTGTACCTATGTAACACATGTTACATCTTTATCGTAGGAACAACATCCAGAAACTCCACCACACCGTCACCGAACCCAGCCAATCAAATTCCGAAACCGCCAAAACGCCAGAAGAGCCTACAGAACTCCGAGAACGATTCGTCCAGTGCCGAAGCCGAGACCGGCGGTGGCGACTCTATGGTCGACACTGAGGGCGAAGGTCCCAGCGAACCTCTCATGCTTAATGAAATTGAGCTAGTGTTCAAACCACATCCCACAGAGATGGCTGGCGACAATTCTCTCATAAAAGCATTGAAGGAAAATAGTATTCGCTACATAAAAACAACAGCAAACGCCACAGGTGAGATACCTTACCAGTTAAGATTGTTACTCACTGTCCGCCTAGCTGGCGGCAGACAGGCAGGAGTCTATCAATCATCTGTCAAAACGTTCTTCAACGTTTTCGATATAGAATGAATAAGATGTGATAGCCACGGATAGTATAAATATTCAACATAATAAAAATACTGAAGAATGTTTTGACAGAAAATTGAAGATTGTCATCGTTCAAATAGATAGTTTATGTTACATCTATAAAGTGAGAAACAATCTTCAAAGTAAAAGTATCAATGCCTGAATATGTATTTCATTCTAAATATTGGCTACGTTGGCAGCAGAGAAAGCTGCTTTGCAACTGTTGTAAAATTCGTGAGTCTGATTATTGTATGTTCCTAATTTTGTCTAAATCTAAAAGCATATGCTAATCAGATTTACAAATTTTATTTTAAAAGTTGCAAAACAGCTTTCTTTGCTAAACGCAGCCATTCTTATTGTTTTAATCTGTAAATATGGATATTTAAACTTTTAATATAGAATATATGTATGTATTCAATATACATATGTGTGTTATATTGATTACACACGTGCGCGCGCATACATACATACACACATATATACAATATAAAACATTTTCCATTTTTTCTGCCTTGAAATTTAAGTTAGGAAGAGATAAAGAGGAAGAAACAAAGAATATCAGTCTTTAGAATGTTCAGAATTAAGTACGTGTTCAGGCATTGGTATCTTATATTGATGTGTTCAGGCATTTTATCTTATATTGATATAAATGAAGAGAGTTATTCGTAGTAAACGCACTATGAACGAAGACACGAGAGAGTAAGTTTTCCTCTGATGAAAATCGACCAAATGTTTGTTTTTTTGCAGTGGACCACTTAAGCAAATATTTGGCTATGCGCTTGACGTTGGATCTGGACACGGAATTGTCAGAATCCGACAGACTGTTAAATTTCTGCATCTACATCGCGCCTTCACCCGGACAGCTCGTGGTCTTGAGTGGCTCGCAAACGTTACGGCAAGTGAACGACAGGTTCTGGCGCGTCAATCGACCTTTGGAGATGTTCTACTCATGGAAAAAGACCTAGGGAAGGCCTCGAAAATATCAATCAGATGGGAGTTAGTCGCGTTTACGCTCTGGAAACGAGTCTGGTGAACGAGTCATCACTGTTCCGCGGACTACAGTAGAATGCATTTGAATATGGAGGACATATATCAACAATGTATTGTACTGTATATCCGCGAGCTCGATCTACTTCAGATGCGAGTTTTTTTCATTATCATAGGCAATGGTGCAATTTTTACGTCCTTAGAATCCATTGCTAGCAATTTTCTCTTTTTTTTTTATGGGTAGCGAGAATTCGTGAATTGTTAGTCAAAGTTGATGATGAGACGATGGAATTCTTCAGAATCGATTTAAGCGACATTGTACGTCCCGGTCCATTTACAACATAGATCCAATTAGAAGACGACAGTAATATCTTACAAGTGTGATATATCATACTTGTCTAAATACTATTCGTCTAAATATTTTTTTCCCCTAACGATCAGTCTAAAGTTTTGAGGAATCGCAGCAGAGAGAAGAACTAGTAATTGCATAATAATCCGTATATTACTTTATCGAGTAAACAAGGGGCCATTAAATTAGTAATTTATATCACTAATGTCGACCGAATAATGAATGACCGAAAATTTTGTAAACTAATAAGAAACTTGAGAAAATAGCTTTCGTTTTCTTTTCAATAGATTCGTCTCACGATGTGTCGTATATAATTATATCAATTGCCGATTACACGTTCGTTAATTACGTGTCGAGACGTGAGTCCATTTGTGAGTACCGCGGTTTCAACAGTTTGCGCATAAAAGTTTCCGCAATGATTTATTATAACTAACAGTAGCATGTATTTGCATTAATTAATGCACCAGCGAAGACTTCGTTCAGTATGTATTCAATATTCAACACTCGTTAACTCGTACGACTTTTATTTATAAGTGAACGCGTAACTTCCAGAATGTACGACCGTCGCTTAAACTCGAAGTGCAAGGCCGACTAGCGTCCGAGGTGACACTGCAATTAAACCAGCAGCTCGATAAACGTGTATATGAATGAGTGAAGCCTATAGCCGAAATGCAATTACCATTTCACATCGTATATTGAGTAATATCCACGAAGATTATTCATAACCGGTATGCGTTATATCCGAGCGCCTATTCGTACGCGTTATTCCACAGTTAAATGGTCTCCATAGTCATTAACTTATTTAAACAATTCTTAATCTCATTGTGGACCATTCTGTATAGTTTCCAGTGAAGAAAATGAATAAACCCATGTATATACAAAAGTTTCCAGCACTTCGTCTTTCGAGAATGTCTGTAATGTAAAAGTACTACAATGCCTAGACACGTATCTAATCCTGGACATTCTTATTGTTTTGGTTTTTAAGATTCCTGAATACTGGGCACGGTCATCTTGATTTTTGGCGTCAAAAGAGCAAGGAAACGCATGCCAAAAATTTCTGTAGAGTACGTCGAAATAAAAAATATATTCAAAAGATTGCAATCGATTAAGGCTTTTAAATATTCCGAACATTTTATTTAATTATACATATACGGTGAAATAATAAGGAAATGCAAGAAGAAATTTAATTTCATTTTATATTTATTTATTGATTGTTAAAGCGAAAGAAAAAAATGTTTGGAATATTTTAGAGGTGTGTTTAATCGACTGCAAGACTATTATTTTCTGTATATATCTTTTTATTTTGGTTTATTTTGTAGGAATTTGAATATGTATTTTCTCGCTTTTGACATCGTCAATCAAGAATGGATCAATACCGTCATAATGCAGTTTCTATTTGGTTGCACAGAAATGCAAATACTTTTACAGAGTGAAAATAGAGATGTTAATGTATGGAATGACAAATATTGTAACAAAATCACAATTTTTTACTTCTAAAATATGTTTTTACACAATATTTAATATCTTTCCATGCATTGACATTTATATTTTTATTGTAAAATGTGAAACATTTGCAACATTTGCAATTCTATGCGACTAAAAAAAAAAAAACTGCGAACTACGATGCTGCATTATGTCGATATCCAGCATCCTCTATACAAATATATGTGTAGATATTTTCTATGTTAAAAGTTTGAATATTTATATTTAAAAACCAAAACAATATAAAAATGCCCAAAGTTAAATACGTATCCAGGCATTGCTTTTATCTTTTATAGAATACTGAACATACATAATTCCTTGATTATATTTTCCCTTTGGAAAAATTTCCCCTAGTAGTTTCAGAGATTTCAGAGTGTTTACAAAGGACTGCTGTAATTGAAAACCGGAGTGATACATACTGGTCTTTTTTCTTCCGACTTATGCTAATATTAGCATTGCTTCGCAAGACTTCAACTGCTCGATCTTGTATGGAAACCATAACTTTCGGATATTAGCAGAATATCACGTGCACATTTGCATGCTAATTTATTTGGCGAGTGTATTTATACGAGTTAATAATCGAGGGGATTAACGACGATCGGCTGAACGCAAGGTAGATTTTCTCGGCAACATCGCCGAGGAATCGTCATGCCTTATATACGATGGCAATTAAGAGTTAACTCGCCGGCTGAGCACACCTCCTCTCGACTTACCGATGCAGGACTCGCTTTTAATAAAACAAACGCATACCCACTCGCGCAATGCACATACCCGGCATTCCCCAGACGAAAATCTGATTTTCGCTTTCGTTAAAGATACATGGAATTCGTCCTTACTTCCTGATGGACGGAATAATCGATAAGCGCTACCCCACGGCACGTCCCCTTGAATTTCCAGCGAGACGAAAACAATGCGTATACCCACCTTTTGATAACGATGTCGCCTTTGTTGCCAGATGACAAATTACGTCAGACAACTTTCTCATTTTATATTGATTTATGCGTTCGAAGCACCTTTTGTATCGCGAGCATTAATTTTGAACTGGAGAAGCAAACGAATAATCTGAGTCAAGACGCAAATATGAATGTGCCAAAATTAAACAAACAATAATATCACAACAACATCAAAATATTAAAATTAAACATATTTTTTAGGTCAGTAAAAGTCAATCAAATATCAAAATATTCTCTTATAATTCTCACGATTCTTTTGTTCAATTTCAAATCTTATTTTTGTTTTTTTTTCTTTTTTAATAATCTTGAGCGTGTTTTTTATATCCTATACAGTTATATTGAGAAAAAATATATTTAAGGAATAAAAAATATTTACTCAATGTTTTTAATGATAGCACTTGTTTATTTTATTTAAATAAAAGATTTTATAGATATTTAAATAAATGTGTTATTAATGTACTCCCTCCCTCCCACACTAAATATTGTAAAGTTAAAGCCAGTTAACAATTAACCATTTAATCGCGGTTAACTGCTGTTAATCGAAAAATGTTTTTAGTAAATAAGCTATTAGCATAGTCATAAAGAATGCAAGACAGAATTGAAGAAATAAAAAGATGTTAGTAATTTTATTTTTGAAAATATTTAGTTTATATAAAATACAGATTATATATATATATATATATATATATATATATATATATATATATATATATATATACAGGGTGTTAGAAAAGTCTGGAAACGGTCGAATATTTCGAAAACAAACCATTTTAAAGAAAACTATTTCAGATAAAAGTTCTTTGGTTCGAAGGGATCTATAAAAAGGTGTAATTGATTTGATCTTGAATAGTCATTTGAAAGTCATATGAAGGTTATCTTCAATTTTTTTAATGGAACACCCCATATATTATTACATATTCTTATAGCTTATCTCAAGAGCT